CCTCCTGGGCGGAAGGGCTGGCCCAACCAGCAGCAGCTTCCAGGCAGGGCTGCTGCTGCCACTATGCAGCTGCCCCAGGAGGACCTGCTTGGCTTCCCTGGCATTCCACTCACTCCAGGCAGCAGGTAGGGAAGCAGCGAGGTGGGAGCAGGGAGCATAGGGCTGGGGCTGGCGGCAGTACAGAGCTCGCACGCTTTGGGGAGTGAGAGTGTGAAGCTCGGCTGGACAGGGTGTGGCTGTGAGAGGGGGTGTGTGTGTAGGGACCCCCACACACTCCCCAACATGTCGTAGAGCCACTGCTGTGAGCAGCAGCAGCAGGCGGGGGGGGCTCACACAGCTTGTGCCCCGTGCAGATGCTGGCGGTGCGCAGCTCCGGCCAGTGCTGCACATAGGGGCGAGAAGCACAGCCTGTCCGTTCCTCTTCAATCGCAGAGGCTCTGCACGGTGTGCCTGCAGCTTCTGCGCCTGCTCAGCACCAGGGAAAGCCCTATGCACTGGATTGGGCTGCCTTCCCTGCCCCCTGCTGCACAGGTCCCAGGGCGCTGTGGGGAAGCAGAGCCAGGGCTCCTCTCCATTTGTAGCAGAGTCCTGGGACCCACACGGCAAGGGACAGGGAAGGCAGCTGGCTCCTGCGCATGGGGATTTTCCCGGTGCCACATGAGTGTGGGAGTTGCAGGTGCACTATGCAGAGCCCACATGATAGAGGCAGCTTGGGCAGGCTGCTTCCCCACATGCAGCACTGGCTGGAGCTGCACGCCACTGGATGCCAGAGCCTGCATGGGGCATGAACGCCCCAAACACCCCTGCCTGTTGCTGCTACCCACAGAAGGGGCTGCACAGCATGTGGGGGACACCTCCCACCCCCAACCACATCCCCTACACAAAATATAGAACAGTAAGACTTTATTTTTGAGTTATTATGCAATCTAGATATAGTATGCAAACACAAAACATGACAAATATTTTTTCTAAGAAAATTAAAGTATGTTATAGTAGGCGTTTGACTTTTAGTGTATGATTTGGTTTTTTTCTGGTTCCAAGCTGGCAACCCTCCCCTCCCAAAAGGAGTATTTCCCGGGGGCAAGGGTGGCAAAGGTCAAGGGTTAGAGGGTGGGACTTCTGGCCTCAATATGGTGATCTGGGATGGGGCAACTGGCAAAGGGCGGTGCTACCCATGTGGCCCTCGACAGCTCACCAAAACTCATTAAGCGGCCCTCCAGCGGAAATAATTCCCCACCCCTGGAGGGTGTTAGGTCAGTGTTGGGTTGATGGTAGTCTTATGCAGAGTTTGGATCAGGGGCAGGCAATTATTTTGGGTTGAGAGCTGCTTCCTGAGTTTTGGCAAGCCATCAAGGGCTGCATGACAGGCAGCCAGGGGCAGATAAATATTAATTTTCTAATTTTTTTAGGGGACCTGCGGGCTGGATAGAATGGCCTAGTAGGCTGCATTTTGCCCAACCCTGGTTTAGATTATAGAGTGTATAGGATGGTTTGGATAGGGATAATCCTGCCTCAGGCAGGGGCTGGACTAGATGACCTGTGGAGGTCTCTTCCAGACCTACTTCTCTATGATTCTATGTTTGATGCAGCGCAATAGATTGTCCCTAGTATATCCCTGCTGAGTGTAGTCCTCCTGACCATATGTTCTTATAAGGGTCACAGTATCACTTGCAACAGTTGTATATTGTGGGAATATAGGGCGTTTTTACATGTGCTCCAGGGCTGGTGGGGGGAGTGCTTTAGTTAGAGTGGCTCTTAGAGCCACTCTAAGGTTCCCATAGCATCTCGTATATCAGTGGCCCCAGGTTTCAAACTGGCAGCAGGGGTGCTTTAACTAAAGCTCACTGAACAAGCTGGGTCCTCCAGCGAGATGCTCTGGCTGCCAGAGCATCTCTATGGTTGGCCCCTCGCCCTGGTGCTGAACGTGTGGCCTGCCAGACAGGGGGTACACCCCCCCAACAGGGAATATGGCCCCCACACAGGAGCTATGGCCCCCCAACATGGGTTACAGCCCCCCAATGGGGGGTTCAACCCCCACACAAGGGCTATAGCCCCCAACAGGGGTTACAGCCCCCACACAGGGGTTACAGCCCCCCAAACAGGGGCCATATGGCCCCCACAGGGACTACCACCCCCCTGCAAGGCCCATATGCCCAACCCCAGCCCCCTGATT